CCCCAAAACCCCAAAACCCCTGCTTTTACGAATATTTGACAAGTAATTTGATTTTAATATAAAGTAAAATTTATATAATCTATAATTGATTTGCAATGTGGGAAAACGACAAGAAATTTATTAGAGCAGTGAGAGAGTGCTACGCAAACATGCAAGTCTCAATTGATGCTGGTGAGGAAGTTGATTACAGCAGCCACTGCATTAAAGAGACTGATGCCCTTATTAAATACACCATTAAATAAATGAATAAATACAGAGCATCTCATCCTCAAGAAGTAGCTGAGAAGAAAGCAAGAAATTACAACCCTAAAATGCCATATTTCCAAAACCTCTGAGTCACTTCAGATTAATCGATCAGGCAAAGGTCAAGATAAAGGCAATAATTTAATGCCAATTATCTAGATCAATTGCAGATCAACCTGTATTTAAATGAAAAATTTTACTAGAATTTATTGTTTCCTTCCATTATTAATATATTATCATTCTAATAATTTATATATTTGTCTCAATCTAGCAAAACATTCAATGCTTAATTAAGTAATTATTTTCTAGCCCTAGATTGTGTATTATTATAAAGTCTAATTTAATGTCCATACTTAAGCACCTTCCCAAACGAGGTTTATTCTAGTTTAGCAATTAAGAATACAAATCTAACATTAAAAATACCTTAGCTTCTTCATAAAGGAAATACAAGCTACTTAAATACAAGAATTTAGATGACTCAGAATGCAAGATCAATGTTTATGGAATACCTATCATCCCCTCAAAATAATCAGCCAATGAATATACATCAGATAATGAGCAAGACAGTCAGTTATTTAGAGATATGGAAAGAAACTTACCATAGCTATAGATAGTTTAGATAGATCCTATGTGGTATATGTATCATTGTAGACAGTTCTCAATCAAATATTTGCCATCAATTAAAGAGTAAGCATTTTAAGTGAATGTAACAATAATTTTAGTCAATTTCAGCAAGGTAAATTGGGAATATTTGGCAAGGACCATAAGCTACCATTTGAAGACTAGAAAGGGATGCCAATGCATGAGTAAAAATCACTTGAAAAGATATTTTCTTTATACTTTCCATTCAATTGGACTGAAACTGAAGTATCTGTTGATACTCTTATGCTTTTAGCTGATCCTGAAAATCTCACACCTTAAAGAATTAAGAGTATAGAATTTATTGAAGTTAATAACTCTTTTGATAGAAATTTAAGAGTTTGATGTGACAAAGGATGAGTGCTAGCAGGAAAGAGAGTTATTGTTGAAGGGGATGGAAACGAAGTTGATATCAAATAAATACCCTTCCATATTCCATGATCTTAACAGAGTTCTATTAGAAATCCTAATGCTAAATGAAAATTCAGTGTTGCTTGCTGACATGCCTGAGTTGCTAAATAGAATGTAGATAGCATCTGTACTTAGTCTGAAGGAGATGCAAGAGATATTTGATGTAATAATGAATAAAATTGCTAGAAAGCAGGGACCTCTTTAGTCTGGTGCTGCAGCTATGTATCATTTCCCAGAGATTTTCCTAAAAAGAAAAGATCAGTATTTGGAATCTTTTATGCGATCAGTTATCGAAGATGATGTCTTAATTAATCAAAATATTAGACATGTCGATGCATACATTGGAAACATCCATTTGAGCCCAGTTTCGAGAATATGGAATACTAATAAATCTAGAAGATAAGATAAAGGCTAATCTAATATAGATAGATCATAAGAAGAAGATGTAGAATAGACAACTGGAGGTAGAGCAGTCAAGCATCAATTAAAAAAATCAGTGAAACCCAATCCTCTTAACTTAGCAGGCTAAGAATTAAGAGACTTTCATTATATGAGATAGAATTTCGATGAGCTAGCAGAAGAAAAGATTGAGAAGTAAGCCTTAATGGAGGCATTGTTCCAAACCTAGCTCTGGAGTGAGCCATATGTAAAGAATCCATTCATTTATATTACTGATAATGACTCAGATTTTGCTGGAGACAAGGGCAAAGATCTACTGGAAATGTTCAAGAGAGTGTTCTATCTGAATTACTAAAAATATAACAACATCATTTAGCAGGTCGTGCCTCAAGAGCTGTGGGAGGGTTAAAGACGAGCCTAGATGGAATTCCAATAAAATTCTTAAATGCAATAAGATGCAGGATATGTAAATGAACTCATGGGAAAACATAAATGAAAATATACAGCTGTCTATATAATGATGAGTTAATTAAGAATCTAAATTCAATTTAGCTTTATTCGTAGGTTATAACTCTTAGACGGGGTTTTGGGGTTTTGGGGTTTTGGGG